ATGGCTAACTTAGTGCATTCGTGTTGACCGGCAAGAGACCACCGTGTCTTTGCTCTGCACCCAACCAGGAAGAACAACACGGCTGGTGCTGTTCATCCACACCCCAAAAAATGTGCTCTCAATTCAAGTATCGTACTTAAAATTTTGAGCCCCATTTCTTGTCGTAAGTCCTACTTGCTCCATAAAACAAGAAATGTGGCTCAAAATTTTAAGTACGATACCTGAATTGAGAACATATTTTTAGGGTGCAGCATGGGAGCCAACGTAAGTTGACGGAGCAGTATGGGCCACACCGTGAAAACGATGTCTCAGTTTTTGAAGGAAAAAGGGAAAATTTTGAGTAACTCCCATAATAGAGGAAAACTCCTCAGATCTCGCCTCAGATTTTAAGAAATCTTCTCTAAATATGAGGAAAAATTCCACATTTTTTGAGGAGACTTTCTCGAAATCTGAGGGGTTTTACTCAAACAAAGGGAGTTCCTCAAGGTTTCCCCCCCCCCCAAAAAAAAATGAGATCGTTTTTTACCGCGTCCGTCTCTAACCATGTGCCTTCATGGCAACAAGCGCATGGGCATGGGCAATCGGCCCACTCGGCTGGATGCGGGCTGTGTTTTACGCATTTGTTTCATTGGATAGAAAATAAAATTCGGATTGCTATACCGTCCCAACACTGATAAAACAAGGGTGTGAAATCATACTTTCACTGTTTTTCAACGAATGTGACGTCACATTCGTTTCAATGTTAATCGTGTCACGTTCGTTTAAATGTTGTGTCATATTTGTTTAAACGTGAATCAGCCAAGCCTGGGCGCCATTAGAGCATCACCTCACCTGAAGTCACGTTTAAATGAATGTGAAACAATATTCAAACGAATGTGACATGTTTCACATTAAAACGAATGTGACGTCACATTCCTTGAATAACAGTGTTCTAGAGGCATTAAAGTTCTAAAGGCGTTAACGTTTTAGTTTATGTTAAAGGTAGTTTACGTTTATGTGCTAGGGTTTCAGACGGTCAAAGCATCGTAGCTTACAAAGAAAATCCTATGTATTTGTAATAAAAAAATAATACTCTGTAGACTGTTCACAGTCCACTACACCTATACAGTACCGACAAGGTGTCCCCGCAGTGCACGTTTCACGAGGCGACGCTATCGATAGCGCCTGCGGCGCGGTGGGTAGGCCAACCCGCCAAGCAGCTGTGTGAGGTTGGCGGCCCGCCCCGAGCGCCTCGGTGCGACAAGAGAGCGCTCCCTGCGAAGGCTGGGTAGGCCAACCCGCCAAGCAGCTGGGTCAGGCCGGCGGCCCGCCTCGAGCGCCCCAGAGTGACAATAGAGCGCAAGAGCGCTCGCTGCGACGACGTTAGACCAAGGGACGTTTCCGCTCGCATCACTTCGGGGGAGTTCCCTAGTCGTTGTGGGGTGCGACCAACTACACGCGCAGAACACGCGGAGGGGTCCCGCGGGTGCTCACCGAGGCGAGCCCTACTACAGCGAGGTCTGTGGAGAGTTTCCACTATCACGGTGAATGCGCGGGCTTGTCAGCCCTCGAATGAAGCGGCTGGGATTAAAGTTCAACAGGTTCGTCGCAGCGCATAGTTGTTCAAGCCAGCCATATCTTGAGTTCGTCTTGAGTCGAACAAATTGTGTATGGTGTGACGAAATCTTATCGAGGTGAGCGAGGTGAGGAAAGTGGTTGCGGCAGCAGTCGTTGGGGTCTTGTGTTGAGGGGAGGAACTCGCGTGCTGTTCAGCTATGAAGTCTTTGATACTAGGTAAGTGTTCCCCTTTAGGCCCCACTTCCGAGTCGTTGGCAGATTGGATGGTGCGTGGGACGAAACGACCACCTGGTGAGATTTGAAGACGACTTGTTCGTGACAATGGGTCCTCCGTTTGTTCGCAGCTGTGCTGGTCGCCCTCGTGTGCCTGCAGCTGCAGGGTGCTCTCGCCAGGACGCCCAAGGGGGACGCGGCCTGCGCCTGCGAGCGGGACCTCCCCTACCAGCTGCTCAGGGGCGAGGACCAGGTCAGGCAGTGCGAGCGGGGCTACTACTGCGACTGCAAGGCCGGAAAAGTTCTGCGTTGCTTCGCGGTCATCCTAACATGGAAGTACAACGAGGATCCCCAAGTGTGCGACCTGAACTTCGACTGCAAAAAGTTTTTCGAAAATTTGCCAACTACGCCAGCAACTACAGTAACGCCACCCGCAACCACGCCCGCAATAACAACTAGACCCACAACGCCCCCGACGACAACGTCCACCACACCCTCGACGACCACGCCCACCACGCCCCCGACGACAACGCCCACCACACCCCCGACGACCACGCCCACCACACCCCCGACGACCACGCCCACCACACCCCCGACGACCACACCCACCACACCCCCGACGACCACGCCCACCACACCCCCGACGACCACCACACGCCCGACGACGACGCCCTCAACATCCCCTAACACCGAGTCAACGACGGCGACCCCATCTACAACGCCGGGCCCCGTCGTGGATCCGTACTGTCTGAAGTGCGACCCCGTGACCCATCAGCGATACCAACTCATTCGCGGCGACGATGAAGTGGGCAAGTGCAATGAGCGGCTGTACTGTGACTGCGAGGAGCGCTCGCAGCAGCAGTGTGGATGGCTAACGGCTCTTAATCCCGATGACCAAAAGTGTGAGATGTTCTTTAGCTGTGAGAGCTGGTTGAAGGAACATTCTCATAACTGGATCGAGTCAGATATGCCATGAAATAATTATTAATTACACCGTTCACATTAAAAATCGCCTAGCCATGGAATAAAAAAATTAACTCGCTCAAATTTATTTGGCAATGTGTTTCTTCTTCTTTGTTTAGTTGTGAAACCATCTCCTCCTCAGAAACGAACAGACTATAGGCAGACTAGCCTAAGGTCACACTTTTCCTCTCCCTCTCTCGCCTGCGATCTCCTATGCTGCGACTTTAGGCTAGACCTAGACTCACTATATAAGCGCAACACATTTTTATCAATCTGGTAAATCCGACAATTTATGCTTGATATCTTTCTGATATTTAATTTATTTTGGTACCGGTCCCAGTGAGAAACGCTGACGTCGGTCTGACTTCAATTTGACACAGCATTAGGGCAAACACCCAAGACACCCACGTATATGAACACCTTCTGGTGATGCATGCTTACCTAACCTCCGGTGGAAGTACAAAGTGTGCCCGTGGCCTCGGGCTTCGACAAGGGCTGAAGCGGCGGCCAGCATTCCAAACGACAGGGCAACGATCGTTGCGACAAAGAGGGAATAAAACGCCAACACTGAACCTGGAATGAGTAGAATTGCGCAGACTTGTAAAAGGAAGATGTGTCCGATCCAATCAGGTTGATCGACATCGAAAAAACGGAATTACGAATGTCTCACAAGTTGCTTGCGATTTCCTGTCTGATTGTATTAATAATAAAAGTAAATACTCTTTCATTTTAAAAGAAAAAGGGAAAACTTACTCCACGATCTCCAGCTGATCCCAGTGTTGCACATGCTGCACCATGCCAACTTTGTTTCAGTCCTTGACGGGGACCGCACAACTTCTGCTGAAAATATCCATTGGCTTTTACTGTTCCATGTTATGTCCTCTTGTCGTCTTGACAAAAGTTCTGATAAATACAGAATTTGATAAGAACTGCAGCTTATTTCACAGAGCTAGATATTTGCCCGCTCTTTGAGAGGAATGAGAAATTGCTTGGCACTTGAACACAAAGTTTGCTTTTATTTTATTCAGTTTTGTAATAGTAACAACAACAATGGCACCTCTTTTAGTGATAGAAGGCGACTAAGTAAGAGTGTGTCCGAATTCAGCCACCGACCGAGCACCGACCGGTCGGTGCTCGGTCGGTGGCTGAATTCGGACACACTCTAAGAGAATAAAAAATAACATAGAGTGCAAATATGAAAATTATGAATTATGAAAAATAGAAAGCACTTGGTTTGAACATGAGTAAAAGTTTTGTTTTAATTAAAAAGGCACATATGTAAGAAAGCAGCAGCCCATTAGCTGCATTACCCCAATAATAATAACACAATGTTATCGTAATGTGATCACTACATATATGTTTGACTAAATCAGAGTGAAAACCACAAATTTCTTTCAAGTGTTTTTACTTTAGGCATCAGTATGAAGCTGATGTGACTGTTTCATTGCTCCTTTGTTAGTAGAACTAGTTCACAACAATATATGATGACAATAGCATCCACCCTTTGGCAAGTTTCCACATCAGAAATCAGGTTTACTAACCATACAACACCGGTCATGTAAGGTTCAATAGTCATAATATTTCTTAAAAAAAAAACAATCCAAAACATAAACAAAACAAGTACAATTATGGTCTATCTTTGGTATAAGAATTAACACAAAATTGTGGAGACAGTACATGTCAGAGATAAAAGCAACAACAAGTCATGAAATCAACATTCTAGACAAAGAAAATAAAAACTAAAGTACAAGAGTACCAAAACAGTAATAACATAGATAAATTAAGATTCAGTCATAATTTCAAATTTTTAAAATTAATCGAGTTTAGCCTAAAGTTCAACTTATAAATTATCTCACAAGTGAAAACCTACACAAAAATTGATGCAACCTTGTACTACATAATAAAATGTAACGACAAATAAACCATTTTCAGACAATGTACGACTTAAAACTTCAAACATATGAGCACTAATTATTAGAAATGTCATGTATTGATTTAGTTTAGTTTAGTTAGCCTCTCAAAAAATTGAAATAGCTACTAACTAAACTGAGCTACAATTATCAGCACTTGAAATGCTAGCTTGTTGTTGAAAAAGTAATAGACAGCGCTCCTCAAGGTTCTGGATGGATGCTAGCAAATGAGCATTTTCCACATACAGCTCTTTGACCAAAATATCTGAACGAGTCAGTCTATTCATCTGTGGAAGAAACAAAGCACCTGTGATAGCCTGAGTCAAACAAATGGCAGACAGGAATACTGCTAGTTAGTTACCTGTTCCCTAGATATTTCACCCTGCTGTTCGAGTTTTTCTTGTGTACACTGCAAAATTACCTGAAGATCAGCAACCTCCTGTTTGTGGCGATCCCAGGAATCTGTCAAGGGCATACTATAGTTATATTCTAGATACATTAATGAGGGTATATAATACTGAAAATCAATCAGAACAGATGATAGATATTAACTTCAAGCAATTCCCTACACTTATCCTTACGTTGTAAGAGAGCTTGAGTCTGTTGCTGTTGAGATCGAAGAGCTCTTTGTAATCTTATGCAAGTTTGCTCCTGTTCACGCAAACGTAAACCAACTGCTTGTAGCTCATCCTCAGGATTCTATTGACAAAATTCAAATATTAATGGAATATTGTTTCATTGAATGAAAAATGTAGACTCTTCCACAACAATGCAGTGCAATAAAATGAAGAGATACATGACATACTAAACAGTTGAGAGCAGGATATTGTGGGTGATGTCTCATTCTACGATGACGTATATGCGGCTGGTGATGACGTACAGTACCAGTGGTAATGTCTCTTGTAACTCCATCATGACGCAGGCCTGAGGAGCCACACGATGATGAAGAGGAGGATGAGGATGACAACAATGTCGCAGGGATTTTGCCATTTACATGTTGCACAGCTGACCCATCCTAAAAACATACATTAACTTGTAAAAATATTTAAAAATAAATACCATGAGAACAATTGTGCTTGCGATATCATACCTCATTTTTTGCAGTGCGAGGTTTGACAATGAATGTACGGTCACTTCCCCAACTTCTTGTTTCTAGATCCGATACTTGGACAGCTGCACTGCAAGCTAATCAATTAAAAATACAAAGAAGATCAACTTTCATCAAATATTATTCTGAAACCACAACTAGAAAATACCACAGCTATCCAGCTATATCCTTCTATCAGAAGCTCACAGATCAATTTGGAATCAATAAATTAAGTCCAAAACATTATCATGTGTAGTGGGACAGAACATCTTATGGTGAAAATATTGGAGCAATGAAGGTTAAGAATGCTTACTGGTCATATTCATGTGTTATCAGTTATTTCCTTCTAATTTCCAGAACAATCATGCATCATACTATCCATCACACAAATGTATTAAATGATTTATATCTGCCTATGAAATATCCTGCAGTGGAGCCATTCACACTGAAGATGTAATTCAGCAACAGAAGGAAATATCTCCGGCCAAGATTAATGAAATGAAGTACTTACCACTGTGAGGCATTTCAGAGAGGTTTTGCAGCTGTTCTTTTAGTTTCTGAATTTCACTCTCTTTTTCATTTAATTTTGCCCGTGCTTGGGTTCGGAGATCTTCAAGCTCTTCCTCAAGCTCCATGACCTGCAATAGTCATGATTTTTATCAATATTAAATTTTGATAATTGTTCTATGTAAAGAATTTACACACACACACACACACAAGATATAATTGATGAAAATTCATCCAAAAAATAAGAGAGCAAAAACATACCTGCTTTTCTACTCCATCTTGTTCCTCAATTGTTTCTAGACGACCATCCAAAGGTTTGCATGTTCTTCGCATATGATCATCAGCAAATAGATCTTCATATTCTCTTATCTTGGACATTAGTTCAGAAAACTTTTCATCTGTGATTTGTTGCTCCTGTTCAGCTAATTGCCGCTCCTCATCAAGTTTCCCTGCCCAATAGTCCTCACAACGTTCATACTCATCTCGCATCATAGACAAACTCTTTTCAAGATCACTGCATTGGTTCCTCAAGGCTGATATTTCACTATCATGCTGTGCCTGTAAAGTTTTCAATTTTTCCTCCAGCAAACACTTTGATTCGCTTTCAAAATCCTTCACAATTGCAGAGTCAGTTGCATTAATAGATTCCTCAGTCAGCCGGCTGGGTTGATGGCAGAGGCTTCCATCTTGATCTCCGCAGGTCTTTTCAGCATCATTATTTTGGTCAACAACTGATTCACATGGAGGTGATGATACGTGAAAGTTCAGCGTAGTGTCCGGTAACTGGTTGTGTAAGTCACAAATCCTTTTCTTTAATATGCAGTTCTCTTGAGAGCATGCTCGTTTTTCTGAAAGAATTTTTACTATCTGCACTTTAACATTTTCTAGTTGGGTTTCAAGGTCTTTACAATGCTGTTGTAGTTGCTGTACTGCTTGACCAGAGCCAGTTTGAGATTCATTGTTCTGAAGGGTGTCTTCTCCAGACACATGATCTGTTTGCAAACTGCTTGTTGATGCATCCTGTGGTGTGATAGTCAGAATAAATTGTGTTCAAATTCAAGCATCATTGTTTAGAATCAAAAACATAAAAGGAAAGATTAAAAGAAAGCAATATTTTGCATTATAATGACACTCAAAATATTTTTAAAATGAGATTACCTGTTCGTTCATACACCGAGAATCTGTATCTGTATCCTTCAAACCATGCAAATCACCTTGCTTCACATCTTGACTGCCCTGGAACAAAAAGTATCATATTGTACAATTGATATCAATGCAGGTTTCATCAATCACTAACTAAAGCAAAATTTAGAGCAGCAGACTTCTAAATTACTTTTTTTTTTTTTTAATTGAAAGAAATGATACAGAAACAGCACTTTTGTTTTTAAATTAAATGTATCATAGACAGAAATAAGATGTTAAAAAAGTGTTTTAAGATATCCACCAGAATATATTTGCAAAAACAAATCAGACACAAACCTGAACATGTTGAAAGTAAGCCTTCTTCAAGAATTTAAGAAACTTATTGGATTTTAACTTTTTATTCATAATAATGACTTAAAGGACACTTATCCAAACTTGAAAATCATGAACACATTAAATCCTACAGGTACTGAAATGTCTTATTTAGTTCTCAGGAAGAATTAGATTGTCATAACATGTTATTACAACAGAAAATAAATAATGGGACAACACAGATGCAATGAGACGTATTTAGTATAATACACTGCTCCTGGTGCCCTTGTTTCTGGTAAGCCAGTAGTCAGCCCTAGCACATCTTTGGCTCCACTGCCAAATCTATAAATATCCTCTGACTTAGCCCCACAGGCTGCTCAACTGATGCATCTGAACTACTGCATATATAAAAACAAGTTATTTCATTGACTTATTATCAAAGAATTACAAAATATGCCCTGTTTTCTTTTTAATAAAGTATGATTTTGTAAGTGTTCCACAAGAAACTGATGATGCTCTAAATGATTGTCCACAAACTGTGCCTCAACTTGGTATTGTCTGAAAGACCAGGACACATGAACACAAGAGTTACTGTATCTTCAAAAGGCAGAAATAGTAGTTTACTCTCCTGTTTGGTATCAGAATTTTGGGCATTAAGCCAGGTTCCAAAACCTACTGAAAATTGCTTCACACTAAAACTTTTCATACACAACTGAAAGAATACAAGAGAAATAAATTTCACTACATTACATTTTACTAATCTCTTTTACAAGAATGTCCTGGCCTTTCTTCAGGCATTTAACAAAAATCATCTTGATGGAGTTAATTTAAAACAAACAACAACTGTTGACGGTGATGTGTGTGGATGGAGTGAATATTGTGAAGCTTCCGTCAAATATTTTAGTCAAAGAACCACAGTAATAAAAACACGATGCATCCATGTAGCAAAGGTAGATCAATAAGCAGTCGCTGAACAAAGATGCATCAGAATACGGTCGCTCAACAACGAAAAATCTGCTTTTCGTTGATCTCGGCTCGGCATACTCGACTTAGAAGATCTCTCACTCATTGAGGAAAAGTTGTACCCGTGTTAATTGCGATCACCTCGTGATTAAAAAGATTCAATACCCAACACGATGCGCCGACTGTAAGAAGAGTGAGAGGCCTCCAAAGTCGAGTACGCCAAAATCAGCGGAAAGCAGAACCGTCGTAGTTAAACAACCGTGTTTTAATGCGTCGTTATTCAACAACCGCTTTTTGATCTGCCTTTGTTGCATGGATGCGTCAAACATCTTCAAAGACAAATTTTAAACTAAACTGCAAACCAAACAGAAATGTTGGTTGTTTGTAAGATGTGAGTTTTCCAACAGTCACACAACTTTACTAATTTTCAATGAGAAATACTGATAAAATGAAAAATAAATACATTTATTTTCTACATCTCTGCTCGCCACACACTTTTCACACTGAGAAGCCAAATCAAAACACAAGACAATAAAAAGCATACCCACTACATTATCAAATTACTAAAAAAAACAAAAAAAAAACAAAAAAAAAAAAGAAACAACAATAGGTATAAAAACAAAACAAAAAACATTTCTGTCTTCAGATAGGAACAAAAAGGCCACTAATTGGTTATTTAAAGCTGTATAAAAACACACGATTTCTTCCAACTTTGTTACATCACAGAAAATATTATTGGAATAAGAAATTGGAAATTTCCCAAAACAGTTAAAAATAAACTTGTCTAAGTAGTACAAAGCTTTATGCCCACTACCAAGCCCTAAGAATTAAGTATGAGCAAATAAGGCCCAAGTCAAATGATACAAAATAAAAAGGTAAAATTAAGGTAAAATATTATAATTGATATTTTGATAAAACAGTGCATGAATTAGATCCCTATGTTTCATGTACTAATGATTGCCAGTATTGTGTACGTAATTCATTTCACTTCTATTTTGTTAGAGTTTGTGTTTCAAACAAACTACTATTTTAAATCAGTACATTAACAGTCAACTACATTATTTGGATGCAATAAAATACAGGCACAATGGGAGCCCACACTTTCCAGCGACCATTAAAAAAAACTACCCAATATGCATTTCATCATACATTCCACTTGATGTAGATTTGGTTAGATGTAGGCAAACAAATGAAAAACTGAAATTTCCAAGCCCATGCAAGCACTACAAATACTAGTAGATACATCATAATTAGGCAGCCATAATACTGAGGAGTCCAGTTGTTTTGCATTGGCAAGGTAAGACAATAAAAAAGAATCTCCTAACACTGTTTAAATTTTCATTACAAAAGTTAAAGAATAAGATAACTAAAAGTTCTTAAGGTAGATTTACAATAGCGACACAGCAAGGGTACTTCTGCCGGTAGCGTAAAAACAACGGTCGTAAGGTCCTCTTCCACTCTCCCCTCACCCTGCTCTGACCACTATGCTGGCGTGATTTCAACGATAGCGTTGAAGATACGCTCGCTGCGTTCCGGTCATAAATCCAACTTTATGCATGCAACAAGTTCTACAAATACACTATAAAAACACAAATACTGTAGCAACTGTTTATGTATACTACCACTCACAATTTCTATGTTCTACCCAAAACATATCACAAAGCAAAGCCCTCCTTGATGGTATCACATGCAGATCCACATTACTAACTAACCACTCACTCAAACACTTGATTCACAGTTAACTTACCACAACGTTGCTGGTATGATGGTGAAGAGCCTTTTCCAATTCTACAATGCGAGCTTGTAAATGAGCAATATCTATATTTCCTTTTGATGGACACCCCAGATCAGAGTTGGTGAGATTCATGAGGTCATCTTGACTTCCCAGTAAGCTTGAGCTCTCACTGGTTATGTTCATCCATTGCTCACTCTCTAAGTGCAAAGTGTTCCGAGGAATCTTGCAAAAGATTTTTTGGATGTTAAATTACATGTTATTTTCCTGATTATTTACTCAAGCAAACAAAAGATTTTTCTGAAAATGGAAAACTTACTTTGGTGATGGATGCCACAGACAGGTTGTCAGTGTACTCAACATCAGCTTCCAGACCTGATTCAGCTGCTCCAAGAGGATGGATTTGAAGACCTAAAATTATTTCAAAAGACTGCACATAGGGAAAGATAAACTTGTACTGAAGAGAGAAAAAATTATGGTTGGCAGTAGATCTTACCCTCAATGTGTATGTTATCAAGAGAAACTTCTCCTTTCTGTGAACATCTTCGTACTTTTCCAAGACGTGGGCTTTCTTCATCTCCACTGTCATCTGTAGGTTCAACACCAAGCGGAGAGTTCCCTCTTCTTTTGAGACTACCATCCACAGAGGAAGCAGCCTGTCTTCTCACTCTCATGTTTGAAACCCGAGTTGTCAGTATCTCAAGTTCAACTGCAAGCTCATCATTGCGATCTCTTAAACTAGAATTTTCAGATCTTAACTTGGTAATCTGATCAACTAAATGTTCAATTCGATCCTGATCTTGATTTGCCTGAAGTTCAGCGAGACGCTGTTGAAGATTTTCTATCTCCTGAAGCTCCTTGCCCATTTGATGTTTTGCCTCTTCACATTCGGCAACATGCTCAGATAAGTTTCGTGACTCCTGTTCAAGACTTTCATTTTCAATTTTGAGAGCAGCTACGTCTGAGGCAAGTTTAGATTCTGCAAGTTGAAGGGCTGCAACTTTCTGATCAAGACGGTTATTGTGCTGGGTTAACTGATCACGTTCCGCAGTGAATCTAGCAGTGAGATCTCGAATTGCCTCAGAATGTTTCAATTCCAACAACTTGAATTGATTTTGACTAACTCTCTCTAACTTTGAGTGATGATCATCAATTTCTTGGGCAAGTAAACTAGCTCGGTAATTGGCTTCTGCCAGATCATTTTTCAGTTTGTCTCTCTCACAAGACATCTGCTCTAGAGAGGATCTGATCCATCTGACCTCTGTTTGCCTCAAAGAAAGAGCAGCTAATAATAAATTGTTAGTAAACATGCTGGGTGCTGTGGTAATAGGCAGTCCCGAAGCTTCAGGAACTGACGTAGTCTTGCCTTGCCTCAGAATTTCTTCTTCAATAGCACAGGCTACAGAAGAAATATTCAGAGACTTGAGAGAGTCATCAACATTAAGGTCTCGTAATAAGAGTGATGGGTTTGATACTCCTGCGTTGTCCCATAGTTCAATTATTCCATCAGCACTTGCAGCTCTGCAAGAAGATACAAAAGATTGATATGAAGTCTAAAATTTAAACGCGTGCTAAAATTGTTCATAATAAATGAGTAGGATACTTACCCAGCTCCATTAATTTCAATGAGATTTAAGCTTGCCCCACTACTGAGGGTACTGGTGTTTAAACCAAAACCCCAAGACCCTTGAGATGAGGAAGACATAATTGATGTACAAGGTACCCCCGAACGAAACAAAAGAAGAAAGTCATCAAAACTAACTTTCCCATCTCTATCTGCATCAAGTTGTTCAAATAGTTGTTGCACTGCCTAAATGTCAGAGCACAAACACATATGACAAAAGATTATAAGAGCTGTCTTGACAATAAGAAACACAAACAAATAGACAGATAAAAAAACTCACATCACTTGATAACTTCTCATTGCCAATGCATTCGCAAACTTGCTCAAGTTCTGCTTGGCGTACAAAGCCGTTTTTACCAAACTGCACCCAAGCCTGCTTTAAATATTCTTCAGCCTGACTTAAGCTTCCTTGAAATCCATTTAAGGTGGGACCATGTTGAGATGGAGTGGGTGAAACTGGCAAAAATAAAGTAAGAATCAGCTGGGCAGGATAACCTAAACTAAATAATGAAACTAGAATGAGAACTTACCAGAGGAATGATTTTCCTGGGCCTCATTTGGACGTCGTTTCTTATTAAAGCAGCCAACGGGCTGAGATCCACTGCTTTCATTCCCATTTGAAGACAAAGATAAATGGGGAGGATGTTTCAGAGACTTCAAAATAAAAAGTTGCAAGTTAAGCAATGCAGCACCATACCAAAGTTTTACATGAAATTTTAGGAAAGAATGAAGAAAATTAGATATGATCAAACATGGGACATTGGTTTGATAGTTTACCTCGTTTAACAGTCTTTCAGTAATTTCAGGATTGTCATCACAGACACTTGAGTCAAACTCTAGTTCTGAGCTCTCAGGTCGTGAACGTCGACCATATTTCTTTAGACCTAAGACTAACTTAGGTGAAACTTCTCTTTCTGAAAGGAGTGACAGCATGAAAATCAGATCACTCAAGAAGAAAAGACAAAACTTAAACAATCCAAGTAATAATTACCAGGTGATTCGCCTCTCTCATTTGCTATTTCATTATGTTTGAATTTTTCAGCAGTAGAAGATGAGCCCTGAACACAAGATGAACCCCATCCACCACCTAGATGAGCTAGGAGGCCATCCCAAAACTGACAAAAACTAATTCGTGTAGATGAGCCACATAGAACAGCACTTATTAGATCAGATGATTGGTTTTGATCAAGCGGTAGCTGTTCACATAGCTGCTGAAGCCCTTTGCGGTCAAGGCTTCCAGTGTTCTCAGTGTCGAAACTTTCAAACAGAGCACAAAGCTGCTGTTTGTAGGGATCAGCCTCAAACATGTCCATTTCATTGCAATATTCCAACCGGCAAAAGGCCTGTCCACCTGACAGAAGAAAAACGAATCACACAAAGCAAAACATCACAGAACCATATTACAAGATGGTGCACTTTTATGAAGTTCTCGCAGTAAAATTTGGCCCCAAAAAGATCCAGATAAATCGATTGCCATATAAATATAGGAAAAAACAAACTAAACAACACGAACTAAGTTGTAGGGCAAGTATTTGAGCAAGAACAGTAACATCATACTTTCTTAACCTAAATCTTACTGAACTGGAACAAATCTCGGTGAAAACTTCTCTCCTATAAAAATGTCCTGTGGATTGACGAATTTCTGCAAGAACACAATCTACCGTGGGGTTGCATATGTTTCATGGATCATGGCACAATTATCGTAACCGATAACAAGTACATCTGTAAATCTTCATGGAGCCCAGTTGTTGTGTTGTGAGTTGATCAAACAGGCGAATGACGAATGACAGCGAAGCACGGCTTTGTTGACTGTTTAATGTTTTCACGGTTGCGGGTTAGTCGCCTCAACTAAAATACCAACACCAAATGGTAATCATAAAAAAACAAGGAAAGCTTTGAAATAACAGATGGAATGTGAAATATCATATTATAACACATTTGCGATAAAGATTTTTTGGCATATTGCATACTGTCTTTCAGCTCTGTGTGAATTTGTCATACTATCAAACAGGAGGAGAGAAAGGGTTCTTAATTGAATTTTCCCTCACTTGTTAAGGGAAGTCTGTAAACTTTAAATTTCATCCAACCAAGAAAATCTATTGTCTAGCGACCCTACCTCCTAAAGGCTCTGAAGGTAATGTCATTATTATGTATTTTCTCTTTTCTCTTGTTATGTCAGTTTGAATTTGTCAACCGTTTCAGTTATTGTTAAAACAACTTCATTATAGTTCATAATCTAATGTTATTTCTGTTTATCAGGCTTTATTTCTAATTTTTCTGTAAATAGTTACCTGAGCATGACACACATGACATTATATCACTTTAAAACATTATCTCTACCGGAATAATTCAAAGTAAAAATCTGATCTTAACCTTGTTTTAAATACTTTTACTAATATGTATATTTTTCTTCGATTTTGCATGTTCATCAAGATGTTTAAGTGTGCTGCACAACAGTTTCCAAGCCGCCTATTGGGTTGTGCAAGATGGCATGCTGATTATCTTGGCCGTTCTACTATTTGGACTCATGTTGCACCATTATCTCTAACTGGGAACTACTGCAAGAGCTCCGACCACCATGTGCAGAAATGTTATTCACCAAACTTTCACTCCAAAACTATGCTTCATATGTCTTCAAATAGAAATAGCAATTTCGACTTGATGGATGAGGCTCAAAAGAGATACAAGCATATGCTCAGTCAAGTTGACTGGAAGGAAGTAAAGAAAGCTCCTCAACCAGCACTTGCATATGGCGCTGGAGGATTAATCCCTTTTGTTCTTCCACCTCTAGCGATTCTGCTGAATGGTGAATTTTTACCTAATCTTGCATTTGTCCAACTAGCATATGGGGCCAGTATTTTGTCATTCCTCGGAGGTATAAAATGGGGCTTTGCGATTCCCGAAAACACTCCACAGAAGGTGTCCTGGGAGAACTTGGGTCAAAGTATCTCTCTCTCTCTAGTTGGCTTTGGAAGCCTAATTCTTCCACCATGGATGGGAACCATAACTCTTATTGGAGGATTGGGAGCCTCAGCGTATATCGACATCACCACACCAGGGTATCCTCAGTGGTTTAAAGCTATGCGACTCTGCCTTTCAGGTGTTGCAATTGGAAGCCTTGGCTTTGGATTATTGTTACGAATTTTGTATTGATGTTTTTGTTGAACAGGTGAAACCAATGTGATAGTTATAATAACTAAGATTAATCCCAATATTTGTGCTTATGTTTCAAATAAATTTATTTTAAATTAAATTCACAGTAAATTCTCCATTGTTTAATTCATTGCATGTCAAAATCTCAACCTGTAACCGCACCAACCAGTAATTAAAAAACACTTCTTAAATTTTTAAAGCAGAGTCACAGCAATATTTTATCGGACTTCAAATAAAAGCTAAGGATGAAAGAGGACATTAATGAGAAACGTGTACATGTAATACAAGACATTCTCTCTCTCTCTCTCTCTCTCCTCCTCATGGAACAACAAGAAATGAGTAGTTCAAAGAATTTTGAGGAAAACACAAGATATTGCTGGGACTCTGCATATTTCCAAATTTATGATACTACATATAATTACTGTAAGAAGAAGAAGATTGTGATAAATATGGGCACACATTAGAAGGCGGCACATAAGAAGGGGGGTGGGATGCGCCTATATTCCCATTTTCCCAAAATATCAAATCCTTTACTTGAAGAAAAATGCACATTATAGTACAAAAGCCAAACTGCCCACCATATCCAGATAATGTATGACATTTTCTGTGGTGCATTTTTTAGAGAAAAATAGAAGCACACGACATACTTGTGCACACACTCAAACTTTTTTCAACCAGTAAATGTATACTAGAAATACATGAATATTTCAATTTTATGGTGAAAATTATGGAAAATATGAACGGTGGAGTGAAGAAATGGGCACTCTAGCAGGTAGTTATTCACATTGTTTAAAAATGTGTTGATCAAAATCTAAAAACAGATCATTGTATGCATAAAATATCCTACAAAGGGGTAGGTACATAGATTTATAACGGTAAATGGAGGACCAAATTAAAAAATGGAAATGATTTAATCATGGGTACATAGGATCATAATAGAATGCAGCTGAACTAAACACTCCAAATTTCCAATTAGTTGTGGTAACAAACATCCTCTTTGGTAACACAGTTGCCTACTTGCAGTTTACCAACAAAGCAAGACTTCAAGTCAAAATAGCAATTCTTTGCCACATTTTTAAAGGACTAAGTCACACTACAATGGCTAGAATAGTTGCAGCCAAACATGAATATGTAAAACTATTTGACATGTCAAAACAAAATTTTAATCAATATCAACATTGATATATAGATGCTTTAGATGTCTTCAAAATTTTCTAACTAACCCCAGTAAATTAATATCACGCATGAAATAAGTCAGTCTTGTCACTGTAATTAATAAAACTATCTATGGTAAAATGACACATTTTGCACTCCAAAACGTGAGAAATAGAAAATCAATCAACTCATAGTCCACTGCCACACAGCCTAAGAGACAGAGACAATGCTTTATCTTGACTGCAGATGAGGAAGAACCTCAGCAGAGGGAAAAAAACCTATGGAAAATGCTACTGACGAAATCAATAAAGTATTTTCTAAAAAAATAAACCACTGTGCACAGACCAATAGCAGTCACGCAACCCCACATCAAAAAAATCTATAAGAAAATAACACTATAATGATAGTAAAAGAGTAAAAGCAAGTAATCGGCAAGAGAATAATATCATGAGAAGCAAATAATGTACATCTCAATATCTAACAAAGTCAATGTAGGGTAATTGAAAGTGTCATTCATTCAAAAAGCCAACAACAGTTAAACATGTTTTAGCAATCATATCCAAATCAAGGTAATACACACAACTAATAGTACTCATTCTCATGTACTCATGAAAGTAGTACATGTTACAAGTGATGTCAGGGGTGTTGATATTTCAAAGATACCCTGCGAACTCCTCTGGAGCTCGTGGTTTTAGAAAACAATTGAAGCCCAGACATTGCTCATACAATATTTTTTAATAAAAACAATATCAAGTTTCACCTAACTTACTAAGTAAATGTAGATTTAACCCTCCAATAATAACATGGATGGCAGTGCATTTTAAAAAACACCACAAAATAAAGGTCAGCCAGCTGGTTATTCACAAGAGATGCTCAGAAAGTACACAAGAAAAGCTGAATTTATAATAAAAGCAATGTAGATGATCACATTTAATGAAGAAATGTTCTAAAACAAAAGTTAACAATCCTGAAAATCCTTTAAGAGCTCTTGAATGTAAAAAGTAGAACATATTTTCAAAGAACCTTATAAAAGAAGGATCAAGGGTCAGAAAAGATGTTTATCATGATCTGAAGTATCAACAATATTTTTGCAGATAGACTCAAAGACTACATCAAAGTTAGAGAAAATACATAACATGTAAAAAACCAGTATTAAATGATAAGCATTCAATAGGTGAAACTCTACGTTTGATTAACCCCCTTAAAACTACAATTTTGGAATAAAAAATAATCAAGACAGGAAAATCGAAAGAAGCAAATGTAAAGGGTTTTGGAAAAAAAGAGATAAAACTGAAAACTACAAATTCCAGAAAAAGACATAAGAAACTTATTTTCATGTTTAATCTTATGCAGTACTTGATATGTCATTCTGTACAGAGGGAAAATGACAGACGAAAATTAGTACTTCATGCTGTGTTGTAATGAAAGGTACTATGCATAAAAATCAAAGGGTCCTGAAGGATGATTGCATATAGAGAACTCACTCCCAAGGATTTAATGTATCAACAAAAATCGGGGGAAAAAAGATGATAGCTGTGCAGATTTGTCATCTTTGTTGCTCCAAAGCACAGCCTTTTCTTTAAGAGCTTTAACACATTGAATGCAGGAGACAATCAGCTATTAACACCAAACATTTGCTGCAGTTAGATGTTTGGTCAGCTCACTGTGCTAAGTCTATCCGCCGAGAGATAACAAAATAACAAAGGTTAAAAACAATTATAAGACTCTTTTCTTCCATTGAGTCCAAGAAAGAGACACAAAATATAGAATGGAAGAAGATATAACTTTGCTGTGCCACACAAGACACATTAATGTTTCCAATAAACTTTAAATAATGACCTATTTATCAAATAACATCCTGTATTGCTTTACACTGACAGGGCAGATATCACAGTAACTTGATGATGTGACAACTCCTGCAATAATGCTGGCATGAATTTCTAATTGAAGATTTTGAAGGTTTAAATTACAAATTGAGAACACACCATTGGGCAAATGAAGACTTACAACGCTAACTGATTACAAAATTTACAAAAGCTGCAAAGGGTCAAAGTTGAGGTTTAGTGCTGCCCAGCAGCTCTATTACCTACATGTTTCCTTCTAGAATGTTGGACGGAAAAAAATAGTGGCCTATTTACTTGCCCCTGCATTACTTTACCCAGCTTGGGTGAGATTGCTGCGACTGCTGGCCAGTTGGGCCCATAGTCCAGCCTTTGCTCCTTGCTTCCTGCTCCACTTGCCCAGCCTTTCTATTCCTCACCAGCCTAGCGCACACAACAGAGCAGTAAAACAACTACATATGAGCGTATCTTCAAGAAATTCAAGCACTCATTTACACTGAAGCAGTGCAGCCCAGAACTAAATTGACAACAATGCAAATCAGCACTTGAATGTATTCTATATAGTGCTACAAAACTTCTAGAAGAAGCCAACTAATTTACATCAAATCTGGGAAAAAAACAACTTTTCTGTAACCTTTGTTGAAGTCATTTGAAAATTTTAATATTTCCCGAGTTTTGACAGCACTATCGCTCTTGGCCTACTGTACGCTATGTTGACGCTATGGCATGGCTGTTACTTGCTGCGGCTGTGACGGGAGCCACCGCAGCAGTGGCGGCATTTGAAGCAGGAGCCATCACACTGCTATCTTTTGCTGCTACTAGTCATGCTTCCAGAACTACCACTGCGATTTACTTTTTGGCGCAAGGCTTGCATTTCATATAGTAATGACATTTTCTCTTCAAGAAGTGTATTTGCTTTTTCTTGCGCATTGGCCAAACAAGATCTGTAGGATGAATATTTTGTAAGGTTTTAATGTGGATTAAATTAATGTGAGATGATACAAAAACTCTTAAATGTGTAATTACCGAAGAGCATCTGATTCCTCAGCAGATCGCCGTAATCTGTGATTTTCTTCAGAAAGCTGTTCAAAAGCTGTAAGCCTACGTCGCAACTCCTCATTTTCTGAGCTAACACGGGTTAGTGATCGCTCCAGTCTTTCTAGTTCAGCTGACTCATCGGCTCTAGCCCGCCCTGACAAAATAAATTTTATAAAATGGAGCCACAAGTGTTCAAGATTATTGCATAGGGTGCAGAACACTCACCTGGAGGTTCTATATGGAACACCCCACTCCGGTTCCGTGAAATGTGCAGTCTGGATATTGAGGCATCAATTGGGACAGGCCCTGGGGAAGTTATATTGTTGCTTGGTCGGTCTTCAACTAAGTGAAGGGAAACGTTTTCCAAATGCACCTGTAATATATGAGTGTGTTCAACTACAGTCTAACAAGAGTTTGAAAAATACAACACTGAAATTCTTACCTCAATGGGGAGGGGTGAGGGGATTATTTCATCTTCCACAAGATCCACAAGTCCAGTGATTGAGCTCATTGTAAGGCGGACAGGAAGATCAGTGACATACAACTCTAAAAGATCATTGAACCAGGATTGCATGTAAGATCGATCCCAGGGTCCTTTCAATTTATCAGCAACAGAGTAGAACTCTGGCAACAAGCTGTGATCTAATCTGAGTTGAATCCTTGGATGACCAGCAGTGTCCAAAGGCATTTCAACCCATGCTCTAGAGCGAGAGCTAAATTTACTCTAGAGAAGAGACAAAAAAGAATTTTAATTAATTTTCAGACCTGTTAAACCTGCTAATAAGTAAATTTAGATATACCAATAATGAAGTCTGCAAGTGTTTTTGCAACTTTTTTCCTCTTTTACCATTGCCATAGAAAACAAATTATACCAAATTACAGTATATTAAGGTTTCTTTAAAAATGCAAGAAAAATGGGTAGTGAAAAAAGTAATAGAAAATGAAGAATTGTTTCAGAAGTTTAACACAATTATATTCAGTATGATAGGTTCAGATAAAAGCATGTGCAAGCAATTACAAGAAAGAGAAATAGGCAAACAAAGAGAGAAGATGTAGATAGGAAAATTTTGGCAAGTGCACAGAGACTGGTTGTAAGTTTACACAAAGGGCACAATGGACCACAGGCCCACAAACACAGCATGCTTTAGCAAAGAGGTATATTAATTTGAAGCAAGGATGACCATGCTAAGACAATGATAATGATATTCATCTGTATTGTAAAATCAAGAGTAGTATGCAGTCTTGTTGGTAACAGTCTTAATAAAAATGTCAATAATACCTTAAATTCAGTCTGAGCAGCCACACAATAATTCAAGGCAAGCATGCAAAAAAATCACAGGTTTATAAGAAGTTTTCACTCAAGAGAAGGTTTTTGCAAATAAACCTTGAAAGCATATTATGAAAGTATGTAATCTATTTTGGTTTTGGCAAATTTTTGAGGTTCCATAATAATAAAAGGACGGATCAGAAATACAGAAATTCAAAATATATGATTAAAGGTCCTCATAACTTATTTTTTTAAATGTAGCAAATACATTTGTACAGAAAATCCAATAATTGGACAGTCCCACTGTTGTTCAAAGCATAAGACATGCAATGTTCTGCATTAGCAACATGAAACTGTTTTACTGTTAAACTTTCAGAGGAACCAGACCTTCTGTACAACTTTTAATGATGTGTGTTTCATGTTTGAGACATGTAACTCAATAAAAGACAAGAATTATAATTGCACTAGAGATGGAATAGAAAATCAGAATGGAACCAAGTGGAATTGTATCCAAGTAACAAGAACTAACACAAATGCAGTTTTATATGAAAGACACAAAAACACAGGTATGGCAAGAGCTATGTCACTGTAGGAAACAAGAGATATGGAATTAAATAAGAATAGGAAAGAACACGATATGGAAAATCAATAGAATAGAAGTGCTGAAGTTACAAACAATCAAAATGAAACCAAAGAACCCACATGAGCCAGCTTTTCAAACCATGCATTAAGAAGTTCTTTCTGATTAGAAAAATATCTCAGACATTTTATAGGCATGCTTTGAAAAATAAAAAATTATTGTTAAAAGTCAGACAACTCACTTGGAACTCATCCCAGGGTATAGCCCCACATTCTTCAGATGTGACATTTGCAACTTGAACTTTAATACTAGAGGAGAATCCTTCTGATTGCTGCACAAATTCCACTTTGGCCAATTTGAAGGTGACTACTGATACCTGATTTAGATTTCAAGGCTGTTTAGTATAGTAAAATAGAAGAGGTAGGAAAAATAGAATGAATGGCACTCAACCAAAATATACCAGATCTCTGCGCTTAATGGAGCTGTCAATTGAATCTGCTCTCTCACTGGGAGTTGTTACAATTGTCCCTGTAGGTTCTTCTTCCAACACTTCACAAGCCAACTCAACTTTCTGCAAATTGTTATCAGGATATGACGTTACTCGGAACATGGCATCGCTTGCATCAAATGGACGATCAATGCCACCACTTTCCCCTCCAATCATGACATAATTTTCACTGTCAGAACTTCCTTCACTGCGTAATGAAGCCTTGAAGATTACCAAAAACAAATGTAAATATTCCCAGCTCTCTCAGATTAAAGATTACTGTATAACAATATGTTAATAAATAGTAGATTAGTTTAATGTCATACCGTATCACTGGCATCATCTAATGATGGCTTAAGTGCAGCATCTATAGAATTAGTCATTCTATTGAAAACCTTTTTACTCGAACTTAACAAAGAATTTAAGTTATTGAAAGTAGAAGGGACTGCTGATGCAACAGGTTTTTCTTCATACTGGCGAGCAGATTGTCGTGTTTGGAAATCCATAGAATATGATGATGAAACATCACTGCCAGGGGTTGCACGACCATTCCCATTAGTTGCCATCTGATGAACTCCTCTCTTATATCCAGTATCCTTTAGAGCAAAAAAATTGATGTAATGATCGTATGAAAAGCATATAAATAAAAATACTGCATAATGTCTCAAAAAGTATAAGAAGTAGTCTAGTAAACCTGTGAAACATGTCCTGTTGAGCTAGAAAAGTGTACACTTGCTCTGTCCACATTACCACTTCCCAAATCTGTGGATCGTTCTACATTGCTGCCAACAAGCTCATCACCAAGGCTTGATGAATCTGGGAAAACTGATTCCACATCACCTCCAGAAGATTCTTTGCCAGGAGTTTGGGAGGGCATGACCAGAGTTACTTCCACTTGCGGAAGAACTGCACCAACAACTAAAGAGCCTCCAGCTTTTTGGTCGAGGATCCTACAGCACATAACATTTAGTTTCACTGAAGACTAGAAATATGCCACAATTCAAAAAATAATCAACAATTCTGACCTTGTAGTATCCATTGTTAAAAATGTAGCAACTTCAGCTCCTTCTTCAGCCAATCGCAAGAGAAACAATAACTGGTAATGGTTGATTTGAACAGACATGAGATTTGAAACTTGCACAAGTAGATGAATATCTGCAGTGCCAGGTTCCACACTATTTTTATTTGTAGAACTAGATGAGGATTTACAGGAACCACCCAGAGTTAAGTTTGATGCCTGGGAGTCTGATTTAACTGGTGTGTCCTGTTCCCCCCCAAAATTAAATTAAATTCTTATCTAGTAAAGTTGTTATTTTTTTAAATGAGGCAAAACACTAAGATACTTACGAGAACAGCTGTCTCAGGTTTCATGTACACCCATAAAGTAATTGGTAATGCATCAAAGAAGGATGTTGCACGATTCGAACCAACTGCACGAGTACCATAGAACTCGCCCCAAACTGGATCAAGTTGCACACACCAAGTGTCTTTGGCTTCAACCCAAAGTAACTCCCTGCATAATTGGCTAACTATGTCTTGCACAGAGCTTCCAGTTATGTGAGAAGGTGCTGGACGAATGTTATCAGTGGCTAGGGTAAAGAAATGTGAGACACAGCATTTTAAAAGTAACAGATCAGATCAGACATTTGTTACTCAATGTACAAGCATCAGACTCTACCTTCCAGGTGGCTTATGAACTTCTTGTTAACAACATGATACTCTCCTGGCCTGGATGGAAATTCTGAGCCAAAAAATAACGAGCCCAGTTGGAAAGTATGAACACACTTTGCAAGATCTGCTCGAGAACATGAATCCTGAGTACTTCGGACATTGGTAATAGTGACTCTAGATGCTTGAACGTGCAAAGACTTCGGTCTGTCCCTTTGACTTAGGTGTTCAGCAGAACTCTCCAAAATAACCTAAAATCATTCAACAAGATAAAATATTTGATGTACAATGACAAGTAACAGGACCAGTATTTCCATATCCTCACCCTTGGCATTACAGCTTCTATTTTCACATCAACATATGGGAGACTAGAATTCATTTCAGTAACACTTTTCTGTAATGACTGATGTAAATTCAAAGCAAATGAGTTTGCCCAGAGAACACTCAAAACATCAAAGTAGATTTGGATGGGGTTCAGCTGGACATAAAACTTAGGAGGTGGCACTTGAAACAGAGAGAAAAACGAATTTCAGTACTAGAACTAAGATAAGTATAAATGCATATCATGGTCTACAGAAAAATTATGCATAAGAGCCTTACATGGGAATGGGATATCTCCTGGGTAGTAATAATATGTGAATTCTGCGTGAACAGTCTTAACTTCATCAGGGAAAGAGTATCTATCTTTATCACCTAGAACAAACAAGACATGTGAAAGTAAGTAATACAGAATAAGTATACAAAATACAAATAACACAATAAGCATGCACTTTTCGATACACTAACATCTTTTTCTGAGCACTAAAGAGAAGCATACTTCATGGCCTAGGGACTAACATGTCATCAAAAATAGAGATGTTTTGAGCAAATTATTCATATTAAATAAAAAAGAAAAGCCATTGAGTCCTAACAAATTAGTAAAAATAATGACCAAAAAAGCCACTACATGAATCTTTGTTTCAGCCCAAGCAACTCATAGGTTCTATAGAAATCCTCATAATTTTTAGGGGAGGTATTTTTCTATATTTCATACTACTAGTCTAAAACTCAAGAAAATATTGAAAAAAATTTGAGATATAACTCTAAGGCTAAACACACCATTTCCTAAATTGCAAATACCTGTTCTCCTCCTGTGCTGAGCTTATTATTGAACAAAGAAGAGAAAATTGCACATCAAGCCAAAGTGTATGATGGGAATCAGTATAATGAGATTAGAGGGATAGGGAATTTATTGCAACTGATTTTTTTTTTTTTTTTTTTTGAGTTTATACCAGGAACTGTAGGGTCTCAAATGTTCAAGTAAAAACTGTTATCTAACCCATAACCACATTAAAGCTAAAAATATCTGTTAATGGACCATCCTCTGATAAACTTATATGGACTGATAGTTGTATTGAGTATACACTACAGATGGATATCCATCCATATAGAAGTGAAGATCTTGTAAGGTGGTTGATCTTTTGACACTTAAGACTTACCAGATATGAAATCCTTTGGCATTTGCTTGCGTTTTGGGGTAGTTACTCTATACAAAGTGAAATCTTCAATACGTAAGATCACACATGAGGTCATTAACTTAGCTAGCTGCGCAACTACATAGTTTTTCACAGGATTTGCTTGAGAGTTTTGAGTTTGACTCAATCTCCTTCCATTTTCCTGAAAGGATTTGAACAATGACAAATTTGGCCCACAGCTTCCATTAGAAAAAACAAATGATTAGAGAAAACTTAGGTACCTGCTCTTGAACTCCTGAGTCATTGCTTGGGATACCAAAAGCAGTACCATTACTTTTGGAAGGTTCGGCCCCAAAATCTGGGACAGCGGATCGAGCAAGAGGGGTATGTAGGGTTCGATTGCCTTCTATCAAGTCAAGAAAACTGCCGAGAAATAGGAGAAAACAAATGAAAGGTAAGAAACATGCAAATTTTGCATGAAAACTTAATTCAAAAATATGTTTTTGAGACCTGTTTTTGAAAGATGTAAGAGCTTGTTGAAGCCACTGGGTATGGGATGATGCAGCTTCTTTATATTTGGGCCAATGTTTTCGATCCCCAATCGCCAAATGATATGGATAGTAATCAACTTGAAAGTCCCGAAGACTAATTTGAAGTGCACCTCCATCCTGAAGGTCTGGATGACATGATCTGCCAACTAAAATAAAAAATATCAGTAAGAAGCAGTACTGATCCAAAAATATAAAAGTTCTCCTTCAATTACTACCTCCAGGGTCATCACAGAGATGCAAATCTATATGTTGCGACAAAAAGTGGTACGATGTTTCCACCACATCATACCGACTAAATAGTCGCGATATGTCACTTTCTCGCCCTTGTTTGCGAGCTTGTTGGGATATTTGAGCTTGGTACTCAGGTAAAACCTATTCAAAACAAAAAAGAGAAGAGTATGGAATAATGTAAGTTTGAATAAAAGAGACAAACCACAAAAAGAAAAAAGATATGCAACCTCAAGTTTACGAGCTGCCTTTTTCTTTCGAGTCACTTCAGTTGCTTTTTGAACTAAACCTGAGAGAGAATTCAAGAAATGCAAAGCAGCTCTCAGCTGAGAATCAGTAAGGACCCAAAGGAGATCATCAAGAATAAGTAGAAGTCTTGATCCCATAACAAAACAATCTAGAATTAAGAAAATATATAATGTTTAACTATTGAAAATATGCAGGGTGTAGATTGATTTCATTCTACCATAAATGACTAACCAGATATTCTTTTCTTAATAACAATTCGACATCGTGCTTGATTAGTGAGGAGACGAAGTGGTGTTAAGTTTGTATCTTGAGTAGATCTTGCTTCAATGCGAACTGTTTGCCACTCCAATTCCTTAAATATCAAGAGTTGCCCCTTCTCTGGTTCCTTAATGCGGGTTGCTCGAAGATCTGCACGATTCCACTGAGGGGACTTGGACTCAACCATTATCCGTGAGATCTGACAAGGAACATAAACATGACAGACAATGCAAAATTAAGAAAAACAAGAAAGATAAGCCTGATATTACCTGCAAGGAAGCCACAAAAGCAGGGCTACGAAATGTTACAAGAACAGTATTCACTGCAACTGTCATTCCGTCTATGACCTTATGGATGAAACTGTATCGCCCTCCCCCCATTGCTGATAGCCCCCCTTGCACAGACATAGAACGTAGATCTTCACAAGTTTCCACTTCAATTTGAACCTCATCTAAAGTCTAGAAATATCAAACAAGAGTGTATATGAGAAATTTCAACTGAAACACCAAATAATGAAAGCAATTATGTAACAGGTGGAATACTCAGACTTACCAAAAATATTGGGACACTCTTCAGTTTTGTCCACTGGATTCGAAAATTCACACGATTGCATCGAGCACTTGTTAATCGTAACCATGATGGAAGTTCTAATAAATCTGTTAGAACTAATTCATCTAATTCTAAGTTGGCTAAATCCCCTTCGCCTTTAAATGTACTTAAGTTTATTTGGTCTTCTCTTAAGTTTTTGGTGTACCTGAATATTAAAAAAAAAAAAAAAAATTATTACTAAGACTCAAGTTATTGAAATAACAGGTATTTTAAGGTTTAGTATGATCTCATAATGATAAAACTAAGCTAGTTTTATTTAAAGCAATAGCTACACAAAGTAAAAGAAGCATCAATAACAGTGGAGGGTAAACGAAATTTTTGAAAAGGACGATGTCAGGCACTTATTAATTTCAATTATTGTCATTGTCTGAGAAGGATAAAATTACAAGATACTGATATCAAGACAACTCAATACAAATACACTGTTGAACAGAAATTTGAGGTTATTACATGGACAGCAAACAATCAAATCGGTAAGGAATAGGGGCAAGAAAGAACACAATTTGAAGTACGAGAACCTTAATTAAAGAATACCGTTTTAAAAATTCGCAAAACAATACGAAATTGTTTTATTATTAGGTTTTGACAATGACTCATAGTGGACGTGTAAAATGAGAAGACACATAACATGACTGGATGTAGATTCAAAAACAGTAAAATTAATAATGAAAAGTAAGAATACCTTGATAAATGCTTCAGAAGCTGGTTTTTGATTATAGACACCATTCTCACACTGACAGTTATCACATATGAATCAACAACAATCACAATCAAGGTGGTGGGGATCAGGGATCATATGTGTTGGCCTCAATGGCTTCTGCTTGATTTCCACTTTTCAGAACATGGCCTACTTTTATTTACCCGCAATACCAGATTACTCAAAGTATGAAAAATTGCACAAAACAGAAATAGTCTAAATTCAAATACGAAATACTTTTGAGGAAAATTGAAAAACAGAGTTTTAGGTACATTAGTATAAGTGTACAGTGTTCATAAGTAACTGTCGATCAAGACACTTCGGAAAGAAATTGCGTTGAGTTGGAAGAGGGTCGGCCGTCGGCCTTTTCTATCAAGTTTTTCCTTGAACTGCAATGACCATATCAAAGTGTTTGCTGGGAAGAGATGTAAATAATAAACAATGATTTAGAGGTGAGGGGTGAGGGCGAGGAGAGGGCTGGAAACGAGCCCAAATTGTTAACTCAACAATGGAAGCGATGCCGTCGTTATGTGTTATTTAAGTAAGTAGATTTTTTATTTCTTGTTTACATAATGATGCCGTCTAGCTCTTTATGTACATCAACATTTAATTTTTCTGTTGTATGTCAAAAGAGCTTTGCTTGGTCTTATGAAAAAAATACAGCCATTTAAAAATATCACATTGTCCTTTGGTTGCTCTTTTAAATTTTGTTAATGTATTGACGAAGAAATAGGCTTCTCAGTAGCTCTTTTGAAGTCCTAGTGGTCGCCTACAACTTGGAGCCTTTCTCATCTGCTATGTCTCATGCCACTTGCGTTTGTCTTCATTTGCTATGGTTTTAACAAATGTAATGAACATTCTGATTACAGGACCCGCCGATTTTAGAGCCATGTAATTAGTCTAGTATTAGATAGAGTCAACTCGCGATCTCATGTGAATATCATATCAGTGGTGTGATCAGCATGATCCGAACCACTTGATGTAATTCAGTAATGTAACCTTTCCAGTCTTTCTTCCACACTGCCATTTAAAAGACTGATATAGCCAACTGTGTTCAATATTGCCAATCATCTCTCACACTTTAATTAATTAACATGAAAGACTGTAACAAGAATGAAGAAGATGACCCCTACCGACCTAGTGCACCTGTTTCGACTGGAACTCTACCAAGATGGGCTCGCAAGCATCACCATGTCCAACAACATCATCAGAACCATCATCACCACTGTAAGTATTTCTGTCTGACCTACCTTTGCCACAATGTAACGTTTTCTGTATCAGTGGAGAACATTATCCTTCCATTGGCATCACTTGTAGAATGTTACGCGGTATAAGTTAGACCTATCACCTAGCGATGTGATGGCTATTAGTCACACTGTTATGCTGTTCTTTGGAGGGAACTTTAACTATTCCTTTATTTTCTGCGTGTGATTGTCTTACCTCTGCATCACCAACTATAACATTTCTATCTGGCTCCCTTAAACATTTGAGGAGCTGATCTAAAAGGAAAGGAAAGGAGGGGGGAAGGGAGGGGGAGGGGGTGTCGAGTCTTCAATATGAGCGCCCCGTTAATGAACACACGCTTAGTGGCGTTGGTGGTGAAGACGCACTGCTAACGGCTACCGCCTGACGAGTAGCGTGCGAAGAAACACCCGCTTGCGCCTCTCGGCGAAGACAAAGCAGGACAAAATCCCCACTGTTCGGCTGGCGCTGGCACCCCCCAACCTTGGGCGGGGGTGAAGGTCCGGGGCAACCCCGGGGCGCCCCTGCTATTACCACTCTCTGGCTTCGCCTGCCTCGCCTGCCTCGCCGCGCACGGGGCTGCGCACTCGCGAGGCAAGGCTCGGCGGGGGGCGGACGGACAGCGCGCCCGGTGCACCTCTCTAGCCCCGGGTTGGCGCCACCCTCCGCGGCCCTCCAGCGGACCCCAGCAGCCGCGCTCATTGCCATGCAGCTCGCGGCTCGCGCACCCGGGGGATGGGGGAGGTCGCGTATCGAAACGCAGTGTAGCGCAGCGTGCGCAGCGGTATCGGAGGTGCGTTTGCCGCCACCATCGATCCCGGGTGGATGCGGCCCGGGGGCCGAGCCGTGGTGCAATCCTCTTCGCAGGCCGCCGGGAATAAATGAGGGGGTTAGGGGATTGGGATCCCGGATCCCTATCGGAGGTAGGAGGCTGGGGTCCCCTTCCCCCCCGGGAGCCTTTGATGTGGCTCGGCGTGCCGCGAGGCGTGCCGTGGGAGTCACGGGCCGCTGTGCTCGCGCGCGGCACCCGTTGTCCGCACCCAGCCGACCCAGAGAGGTGCTGCCTGCAGCCAAGATGGGCCGCCTTTGTGGAGCTTGAACCTTGAGTGAGCGCAGCGCCGCGCCAGGGGAGGACAGCGAAACGGGTTCCCGGCGGCGATCCCGCTTCTGCACTTGTTGCGCCCCTGAAATTAGTCTTAATCCTCTTCCTTAAACATGCCACACGGTTTTCGAATATTCAGAGGATTCTCTCTTAGCGCCGCTTTTCACGTCAGTTGGATTTTGATCGGGCTGCCGCATTTTTATTCGGATGTATACGTGCGTGTTTCTCGGATTCGTTCGGCAAAGGACGGGAGCTCGGCGCCTGCGAGACCCAGGCTAGGCCACCCCGCAGCACGCGCGTGCACTGCAGGCAAGATGTTGCCTAACCACCAGGCGCCATGAGAGCTATAATCGGCTCAACTTGGCTGGTTCTTTACGACGAATGACTGACGCACTTTCTGGATGATGCATAATCAAACTCTGCTGCGCCACTGGCCGCAGCCAGCCGCCACTGGCCACACTGGCCGTGAGCCGCCACAGGCCCAAAACCAAACGCTTCACGTTCCGCCTCGCACCCATATATTTATGTATTTGTGCGCTTTGCTCGGCGCTTGGCGTTCCTTCTTATCCTTCTCCCGGTGCCAAACACGGCGTTTCGCACACTACCGACAGTCAATGAAAGGCATACGTGTTTCTGCCAGCAAATCACACACACGCGTACGAAGCGCGCGCGCACACACACACACTCTCGCTCACACACACACACACACACACACACACACACACGATTGTTGTTGGGAACCCTAGAAACATCCTGCCATTCGCTTGGGTCGTGTCCGAAAACGCTGCCTGCCACCATACCCTCTCCCCGCTTGTACCTCGCACATATGGAAACGGGCATTGGGGGGCGGAGAAAGGGGTAGGGGAGGGATGGGGGGGTTTGGGGGACTGGTTGATGGTTTTGAAGGCTGCCGTGCCTTTTCCCGCTCGCTCGCCCCGGCAGAACAAACAAGCTCGGACGGACGGTAAAAAAACACTGTCGAAAAGAAAATTCGTGTCGTTGGCCGTTCGAGTCTGTCGAACGTATATTCACCCTCATTGAGCAGTAAACGGCGTATGCCATAAGCTTTGG